TCCCTACACTCACTCTATGTCTTTCTACATCTACTCCATGTTCCTCTATGTCTGCTCCATGGTCATCTACATCTACTCCCTGTTCCTCTACACTCAATGTCCTTCCATGTCTACTCCATGTTCCTCTAAGTCAACTCCACATTCCTCTACATCTACTCCATGTCCTTCTACACCCAACTCCATGTTCCTCCACACCCAACTCCAAGTCCCTCTATGTCTAATCCCTGTTTCTACATCTACTCCATGTTCCTCTATGTCTGCTCCATGGTCATCTACATCTACTCCCTGTTCCTCTACACTCAATGTCCTTCCATGTCTACTCCATGTTCCTCTAAGTCAACTCCACATTCCTCTACATCTACTCCATGCCCTTCTACACTCAACTCCATGTTTCTCTACATCAACTCTATGTTCCTCTATGTCAGCTCCATGTCCTTCTATGCCCAACTCCATGTCCCTCTACATCTACTCCATGTCCCTCTACGTCTACTCCACGTTCCTCTCCATCTACTCCATGTTCCTTCTACACTCAACTCTATGTCCTTCCACATCTACTCCATGTCCCTCTACATCTACTCCATGTTCCTTCTACACTCAACTCTATGTCCTTCCACATCTACTCCATGTTCCTCTATGTCTACTCCCTGTACCCTACACTCACTCTGAGTCCTTCTACGTCTACTCCATGTTCCTCTATGTCTACTCCCTGTACCCTACACTCACTCTGAGTCCTTCCACATCTACTCCATGTCCCTCTACATCTACTCCATGTTCCTTCTACACTCAACTCTATGTCCTTCCACATCTACTCCATGTCCCTCTACATCTACTCCATGTTCCTTCTACACTCAACTCTATGTCCTTCCACATCTACTCCATGTTCCTCTATGTCAACTCCATGTCCCTCTATGCCCAACTCCATCTTCCTCTGCGTCTACTCCATGTCCCTCTACATTTACTCCATGCTCCTGAACATCCAACTCCCTGTTCCTCTACACTCAACTCCACCCCAAGCCCTCACCAACGCCCTTGAGCTTGAGGAGCGGACACCCACAACTCAACATCAAGCTCAGCCAAGACCTCCACCATCCTCAAAGCCCAACCGCCAACCCTACCCCACCTTGAGGAACTCGAGCAGTGGCTGCTGGATCTTCTCCTCCAGCTCGGTGATGAGCTTGTTGAGGAGCGTGATCTCCTTGGAGAGGTCGGTGATGTTCTCGTTCTGCCTCTTGGCGATGGTCTTCTCCATCTTCTCCAGCTGCCCCAGCAGGATGTGCTCCTGCTCGTGCAGGAACTGCCGCAGCCTCTCGAACTCCAGGAGCAGCTTCTGCCGCTCGGTCTCGATGGTTTTCTGGGGACAAAACACGGTTTTTTAAGCTGTTGTGATGATTTTGGGGTGGAAAAGGGGCCACTTGGTGAGTTTGGAGCACCTGCTAATATCCTTGCTGGTGAAACTGGATGCCCTCAAGCCCAAAGAAAGGCCTTGAAAAGGAATGACCCAACCCCAACTTAAACTTAAGCCCCGTTGCAGCTCCATCCCGAAAAAGAAAGAGCTGGGAACTCTTCAGAACCATCAGAAGAGACCTGAAGTGGAGAAAGGACCCGAGGAGAACAACTTTGAAAAGCACCAAGGTCGCTTGAAGGAAAGAAAAGGAGAGTGAGGAGGAGGAAGAAAACACAGAGCCCAGGTGCCACGTGAGCAGCGGCTGCCCCTGAAGAAGCCGTGACACCGAGCAGTGCGTGCTGGAGGAGTTCGTGTGTGAGGGAAACGGTGACCGTGGGCAGACCCACATTGGACTTTTGAGGACTTTTTTTTCCTCCTGTGGAAAGGGGGCCACATGGAGGCATTTTGACCAGGTTCCTTTTCTGGGACGTCGTGGTGCTCGGTTACGCGCTGGGCCTAAACCACAACAGAGAGCAAAGGCCAGGGGCAATTACTCCCTAAACACTCATTATTTTCATTGCAGTTGTGTCCTCGCACCCTTTTGTGGAGGGAAGAGGCACCAAACCACATCTTGGGGCAAGTCCCTCGCCTCCACAGCCGATTTTGGGTGGTTTCTCTACCAAACCAGCACCTAGGCCTCATTTTCCACCCCCTGGGGGATCAATTAGCACTTAACGAAGCAGAAACAGGGACCAGTGGCCAAGAGGTTTCCCAAGTCCCATCACCCAAACTGGGACAAGGGGTCGTGTGGGAGAAGCCACTGGGAGCAGCATTGGGGCGCATCTACGTTGTCAAATAAACCCCAGCACTGCCAATATTTGGGTCCCTACTTGAATTTTTGTGGCAAACAGACCTAAAAGTCTCCTTTGAGACAAAGCCAGGGGGCAAAACGAGGACATTTCGGTCCAGGAAATTCACTTTTTGGCAAAACGGACAAATCTGAACGCGTTTTGGTTGCTTCACTTTACACAGGCCCCACTAGGCCTCACTAGGCCTCAAAAAACCGGGCCTTCATGGCAGTTATTTGGCAGAATTTTGCTATTTTAAACAAAAAAGAGGGGAAAAGATAAGACTTTCCTATTTTTAGGAAGGAGATGGGGTGTCTTGGAAGGTCCTAACCCACTTCATGTGTCCCACGTACCAAAAGTTCCTGGGTTTTTTTATCGTCGTTCACTTTAAACTCCAGCAGCTCCTGCCGCTCCTTCCTCAGGAAATCCAAGCGGCCCTGGATTTTCTCCTAGGAACCACAAAAAAAATTAAGATATTACTCGGTTTTCTTTCTTTTTGCTGCATTTTTTGGTCTTTTACTGCATGTTCGAATTTCCCTCTTACCGTATTTTTAATTTCCTTTTTGCTGCACTTTTTATTTCCCTGTTGCTGCATTTTTTATTTCCATTTTCCTACATTTTTAATTTCCTTTTTTCCTGCACATTTTGACTTCTTTTTCCTGCATATTTTATTCCCATTTTGCTGCATATTTTGATTTCTTTTTCTTCCTGCATTTTTCATTTATTTTTTTGCCTTTTTTCCCCCTGCACATTTTGATCATTTTCCCTGCATATTTTCACTCCCTTTTGCTGCATTTTCCACATTTTAATGCATTTTTCTGCCCACACACAACTCGCCCTTTGCCCAGAACACAGCAAGAACCACAAAGAAAACCACAGGGCCACCCCAAACCCCCAAATTTCCAACCCCCAACAATCCCCACACCCCCCAAAAAAGCAGGGGGGAAGCTGCACCCTCTTTTTTTTAACCCCTTTCACCCTTTGCAAAGCTCCGCCCGGCTTTAATCAACTGAAATTCACCTTTGGACGCTTGCCTGCACCCAAAAATAGAGGCGAGGCACCAGCTGTGACCCTCCCGAGGCGGGCGAACGCCGTTAAGGTGGGAAGAGACCTCCAAAAATCAGCAACCCAATGAGGTTTGAGCAAGGAAGGACCCCGGGGGGGACTGATATGGGAACGGACACACGGGTACCTTGTACTCCTTGTCCAAAAACCATTGACCCATTGTGGTTTGAGCAAGGAAGGACCCCAGGGGGGACAGATACGGGGATGGACACATGGGTACCTTGTACTCCTTGTCCAAAAACCATTGACCCATTGTGGTTTGAGCAAGGAAGGACCCCAGGGGGGACAGATACGGGGATGGACACATGGGTACCTTGTACTCCTTGTCCAAAAACCATCAACCCGTTGTGGTTTGAGCAAGGAAGGACCCCGGAGGGGACTGATATGGGGATGGACACATGGGCACCTTGTACTCCTTGTCCAAAAACCATCGACCCATCATGGTTTGAGCACAAGGAAGGACTCCGGGGGGGATGGATATGGGGATGGACACATGGGTACCTTGTAGTCCTTGTCCAAAAACCATTGACCCATTGTGGTTTGAGCAAGGAAGGACCCTGGGGGGGATGGATACGGGGAGGGACACACGGGTACCTTGTACTCCTTGTCCAAAAACCATTGACCCATTGCAGTTTGAGCAAGGAAGGACCCTGGGGGGATGGATACGGGGGCGGACACACGGGTACCTTGTACTCCTTGTCCAAAAACCATTGACCCATTGTGGTTTGAGCAAGGAAGGACCCCAGGGGGGACAGATACGGGGATGGACACATGGGTACCTTGTACTCCTTGTCCAAAAACCATCGACCCATCATGGTTTGAGCACAAGGAAGGACTCCGGGGGGGATGGATATGGGGATGGACACATGGGTACCTTGTAGTCCTTGTCCAAAAACCATTGACCCATTGTGGTTTGAGCAAGGAAGGACCCTGGGGGGGATGGATACGGGGAGGGACACACGGGTACCTTGTACTCCTTGTCCAAAAACCATTGACCCATTGCAGTTTGAGCAAGGAAGGACCCCGGGGGGACAGATATGGGGACGGACCAGTACCTTGTACTCCTCAGACGCCTCATCCACGGGAACCACAGCGTGGGGGCGGTGTTCCCGGGAGCGGTCGCACACCACGCAGATGGTCCTGCGGTCGTCCTTGCAGAAGAGTTTTAAGGCTTCGCGGTGCTTGGGGCAAACCCCGTCCTCCTCGGCCCCCTTGGCCCCGCGCAGGGCGAAGTGGCCAATGATTTCGGCCATGTTGGCCAACTGGCGGTTGGGCCTGAAGCTTTTCTGTTGGAAGACCTCACGGCATTGAGGGCAAGGGAAATCCATCTCCAGGTCCTTCCAGCTTTTGACAATGCAGGCCCGGCAAAAATTGTGCCCGCATTCGATGGAGACGGGGTCCTTGAAGAACTCCAAGCAGACGGAGCAAGTGGCTTCATCCTGGAGGTTGCCGGGCAAGAAAACGGCCGCCATGGGCTCCGTCCTGCGGGTCAGGGCTGAATTCGTCGGGGCCAGATGGGGAACATGAATGCTTGGCACCCAGCCCCGTGTGGGCGTCGCTCTTCCAGGAACGAGGCTGCTGGCTGAGGTCGCTCCCACGGTGTCTGGTTTCCTTAAACTGGTAACGAAATTGGAGGGGGGGGACACACAACGTGGAGATGGAAAAAAAAGCAGTCGGGAAACAAATCCTTGTGCTTTTCTCTCCCACAAATCCTAAAATCTTTGGGGTTTTGGGGGGATTGTGGGGTTTTTTTTTTGCAGGAGAGGGGGGGGAAAAGGGGGA